TWAAARRAAAARGRRGGGGGRAAAAAACCCCACAATTAAAACCAGTACAAAAGCTTAAATAACAGTAACACTGGCTAGATCCAAAGAGGATTTATGCAAATTACTTTTTTCAGGCACGAATGATCTTTTTCAGCAGAACACATGTTAAGASAGCAGAGACATCTAATCAAAGAGATCCTGGAGGGGCGAAACCTTTCACAGTCTCAGATGAACAAAATCCCTCAGGGAATGGTGGTGTTTGTTTCTTTAATCAACATTTTGCTATTCCTGCTTTCTGAAGAGCTGCTGCAGTGTCAAGAGCAATTAAGGGCCAGGATCAAGGCCAGGTTTACAGCCAGAGTAAGGAGATGCAGACCAATTAACTTGTAAAGAGTTACATTTATTTACGTAAGTGGTGATTTTGATCTGGGTGTTTTAATGGGATGATRCTGGATGGTATAGTGGGCAACACACCAGAAATCATTCATCTACGTAGGTGGCATAAACATGTAGTAAACATCATTTTCATGAATTATATCCATTACCAAAAGCAGTAATTACACAGCCAGCACTCTGGTTTCCACGTATGGGTTTGGTGACATGCAGCTTTTGAAAAAAAAAAAAAAATTTAAAAAAAAATCATTCATTTTCTGTCTAAACTGCTCCATCACAGAGGCAACACAAGCTCTCCACCTCTCCGAGCTACACTGCCTCTGGGCTTTATAAATGGAAGGATGTACCTAAGACAAGCCCACGGGTGTTTCCGAAGTCACCCCGGCACGCTGCCGCCGCACGTGTCCCGGCGATGACTCCAGAGCACGCTGGCAAACTCGCCACCGGGAGCCGCACATGGCAGCGTGCCCGCCACGGSTCTGTCCCTGGGTGGCTACTGAAGCTCCCTGCCTGCCCCCACGTCCAAGGTTAAACGGCACACCAACAGACAGCTCGCCCCCTGAAAACACCTACCGATCTGCCCGCTGAAAAAAACAGCTGGTTCCCCAACCCCCTGATCCAGCGTCATCCCTGCCCATAGCTGGGAGGTTGAAACTAGGCGACCTTTAAGGCGTCTACCAATCCAAACTACTCCACGATTCTRTAACTGCGTTGCACAAATCCCCCCTCCAATTAACCAAAGCTCCTAATTCATTGYTTGTTYGCTTGCTTGCTTGTTCTAAGTACCAAAGCTGCGCTATTCAGSCTTTCCCAGAAGTTTAACCACGCTGCTCGGCGCCACCACGGCTCCCGTGAGCTGATGCCGCTGCACCTCTACCAAGCTCGCAATGGACACTTTGCCCACGAAAGGCCACTTAACATGAAAACAAGAGATGCACCTTCCGTTTAMCCCTTACTGACAGGCACACGCCTTGCGTCCCTTGGAGACTCTGCCAGCCGGCTGGGAATGGGTAGCTTCCAGCAGCTCGTACCCCTGCCTACAGATCCCGTGTTACTCTGCTCCATCACACCGCGGATAATCCCCCTGTGCTCCCGCAATAAGACCCCAGACACCCGGCGAGCCCGGCTGCYGCGAACGCCCGTCCCCACCCCGGGGTGACGCACCTGCAGCCCCGCCGGGTCTCACCCAGCTCGGCCCCGCCGCACTCCTGACCGCGCACTGCCTATGGAGCCAAGCCCGTTCAGGCAGAGACATTAACCCCAAAATAAATCACCGCCCCCGCACGTCCCCCGGCCAGGTGTGGGCTGCAGCTCCCCTCCGCCGGACGCGCAGCTCCAGGTCGCGACCGATGGCGGACCCCCGCGGGGTGAACGCGGGGCTGCCGCAGGCGCGGCGGGCAGCGCTCCCCCCACGGCCCACCTCACCTCCCACAGCAGCGAGAGCAGCARCGCGACCCCAGGCTGGAAGCGCTTCATCTCTCCTCCTCCTCCTCCTTTTCCTCCTCCTCCCGCGGCGGCGGCGGGCTCGTCCCTCCGCCTCAGGCGCGCACGGGCGCTGCCAGCCGCGCCATCCCCGACGGCGGGGGAGCTCCGGGGGCAGCGCGCACCAGAGGCTCACAGGCAGCCCGGGGAGGCGGCGAGCAGCCCGCACCGGAGACTGAGGGACTAGGCGAGGTAGAGCGGCAGCGGGGCGGGGAGGGAGGCGGGGAAGCCCCGCAGCAGGGCGAGGGCGGGCTGACCCGCCGATCCCCTCAGTGGCAGCGTCGGCGGCTGGAGCGACGCGAAGCAGGGTCGTTGCGAGGCGGAGGACAGCGGGTGCCGGCCGGGCGGCACAAAGAGGCCGGGCGCCGCCGCCGTGAGGGCGGGCAGAGCAGCGGCCCGCCCCGGCCCCGCCCCGCGCCGCTGCCCGGCCGGGAGGGGGCGGTGGCGGCGGATCAGTGACCTCGCGTTTGCCCCCGCACCTGCCCTGACCCGCATCTGCCCCTGTCGCTGCCACCGCCCCCGCATCTGCCCCCCGCCCGAGGGGACAGCAAGGATTCTCCTTGGAGCCGCGTGGTCCACGACCCCGCTTCCCTGGAAGAGCGACCTGCTGGAGTGAGTCCACAGGAGGCCACAAAGATACCCAGAGACTGAAGAACCCCTCCTGCGAACACTGAAAGRATTKGAGCTCTTCRGTCTGGAGAAGAGAAGGTTCTGGGGACGCTTTAGACTGTCTTCCAGTACCTAAAGGGGGCTTGTAAAAAAGATGAGGATGGATTTTTTACCTGTAGTGGTAGACCAATGGGCAGTGGTTTTAAACTGAAAGATGGTAGATTTAAGTTGGATATGGAAGAAATTTTTTACAATGAGGTTGGTGAGAYACTGGAACTGGGCTGCCCAGGAAGTGTGGATGCCCTATGCCTGGAAGAGTTCAAGGCCRGGTTGGATGAGGCTTTGAGTAACYTGCTCTGGTGGAAGATGTCCCTGCCCATGGAATAATAATATTCTTTGMGGATCYTTTCCARTCCAARTAATTCTGTGGTTCTGTGATTCTATGAGATGCTGCCTCCACCTGCCTTCTGGGTGGGAATAGGAGCTGTGTGTCTAGGCTTAGCCCCCCTTGCCAATGGGGTAACCTTTGGTATTTCAGAGAAGAGGCCTGCTCCTTCATTTCCTCAGCATGCTTGGTAACAGCCCTGGGGCATCTGTGTATAGAGGTCTCAGGACAAATCCTAGGTTGGAGTGGAGGTACTCTCCTACCTTTTGGTACTGAGCTCTCCAACTTCCAGGTAGCTGTGCCTGGGTACTTCCTTCACCATGATCATGTTGTCCCAATGCTTTGAGCCTCCTTTTCCAAGCCCTTTGTGTCCTTACCACAGCTGGACACTGTRTGCAGCTGGAGGAAGGCACAGCCCTTCTCTGAGTTTAGGAGGGTTAGAGGTCTCTTGCCCTTGCTTTGTAGGTGAACTTGCAACTTAGTCCTCAGGGGAAAATTAAAATAGATAAGGGGGAGAACTGCCCCATTTTTCTTTGAATGATAGGCCTTTCCCAGCAGCATTTCTGGAGGAGATACGCCTCCCACTGTCCTTTTGTTGGCAACCTATCAAAAAACTACTAGCACATCCTCACAACTCTTTTGTTCACCATTTTCCTGTTGTCATAGTATTCAAGCAAGAAACTTGCCATCTCCACGTTGCAGTGAAACGTCATCAGGTAGTTATTTTTTCCRTACAGTGAACTTTGGGCAAGTTTACAACCGTCTTCTAGCTGGCACCATTAATCATATGTGGGCTCAGGCCCGGGTCATGTGTTTTATGTTAGAAGTAACTGTATACAGATTCCCACATGCTGTGTGGTATTGTGTACTCAGAGGCAACCTGCACAAGTCCTTCTTGTGGGACCACTCATTTTGATACTTACTCCTGTCTCTGTTTGATGCCATCCAATCTGAAGCTGTGAGATGAGCTTTTTAGATGAACGCTCACATATTTGGTTGAATTTGCTAGCAGGTGCCTAAGGAAATGTCACAGCCATCACTTTGTCCAACAGTGAAGTCTGAATGAGGCAATTACACACACAGGTCTCGATATAATGTGAGTTGAAAAGTTCCACTTCCTTACATCCTTATGGCATGTAGAGACAGACACATTGTACACTGGGTATCGCTTAAGAGKGATCACCTTATATTGTCTCAACATAAAAATTCAATGTCAGGCATCACTTCAAAAAGGCTCCAATTTATAGAAGTTAGAAGASGATGGTTTTCAGAGTTCTGTCCTGTTATATGGCTAGCCCTAAACCCCTTTTCCATTCCTAATCTCTGTGTTGTTGCATGACCTAGGAGAGAGCATTTTGGAGACACAATGACTCTTCACAGAGAAGRTGAAGAAGAGCATAGAAGATGTTTAGGGACATCAAATGAATCTGAATGTCAGTGCTGAGCATGAGTGGTCTGTGCCACTGCTGTTTCCCAGCAAGGGTGCTTTAGCAGCCCAGAGACAGTCAGAAATCCTGATAGTACAAATTCTGGGAGAACTGAGAAAGCACTCAGGCATAAATAAAAGTTRGGAAAGAAACCTGGAGTCTTTCAACCTCAGACACTACCACCCTTGAAGGCTGACCCTGCCAAAACTTTCAGCTGATGGCCTGAATGTGCCCTGGCAAGAGCAAGTTCTAAAATACATTTCAGTTAATGATTGACCCATACATCACTACTGAGTTTATCTTAGGAACAAAAAAAAAAGCATTAATTCTTTTTTTCTCAAGAAAAGATTTCTACTAAGGCAAGAAAGGCTAAAAAATTAACAGTTTTTAATCAATAGACAGATTAGGAAGAGTSAGATTGAAGCAGCAGTGGGCTAGAGGAAGAAGAAGCTGCCCAATCTTGAAGCATATGCTTCCCAGTGCATAGTTTATTATCCAGCCTAGATAAGGATATGGATATCCCACACTATAGAATTCTTTCCAGGCTGACATAAGCTGAAAAAGGAAAAAATATCTCCTGACCTAGGAATGAACTGTTTCATATTCCATTTCAATCATATCTCTAGCTSCCCTAAGTGATGTCTTCTTTCATTTCCACCTAGCTTCAAGGAACCATCTTCATTTCCAGGGAAAGCCCRTTAACTTTAATGGAGTTGGAGTACTAATGAACTTGGCTCAGCATGTGGCATTTTCTCAGCAGAAGTGCGAGTTGCAGCAAAGCCCCTTAGAGCTTCTCTGGGTGAGAAATGAACACATTCCCTACACTGCACTGCAGCTTGATGGCAAGACAGCTTGACACAACAGAGAAACAAGGCTTTTCTGGGAGAAAAGGTCCCTAGGTATAAAAAAGAGCCCCTTCCTTCACATCCTGATTCTATCCTCTCTTCAGTTACTGTGTTCAAAGAGTTTAAAACTCCAGAGCTTCCAGAATCTGTGTATAGAAACAAGTATATCTATTTTTAAAATAGAACAAAATAATAAAATAAAATAAGATAAAATAAAATAGTTTCAGGAGCATTATCAGTAATGAAGCTTTATTTTATCTGATTGAGGCTTGCACTGCAGCTGAAATATTCATAATATGCTGCTTCTCTGTGTAATCTTAGGTGTTCCTCAATAATATTGCCATAATTCTTTCAGCAGAGCTTGCCAATTATAACATGTTTCTTTTCCTCAGCTACCTCTCTTTCCTGAAATGTAAAAGCATATATTATTTTTGAGACTGCCACTCCTTCATCAATTTTTCAAACTGAGTAACAGGTATAAAAATTCCTAGAGAGCACTCACAGTGCATATAGATAAATGTATTTTGCAGACCTTATTCAAACTTAAAGAAATAAAAAATAAACTGATTGTGTTGAATGCTTCCTTGTTTATGTTGAAACAGTTGTTTCTAATACTACTTGAGAAATACTCAATTCCACAAGGGCTGTATGTGAAGCAGGTAACCACTTCATTATGAAAAAACAAATACATTATTTTCATTTGCTTCCCTGCACAAACTGTAAATAATTATGTAACCCTACAATTTTGTATTTAAAATACTCCACTACCGTCTTCACAGGTGCTATTAAAAATTAGCCAAATCCTTATGTTTTCCAAACTCTCTATTTTAAGAGYAGGATCACCTCAAATATATTTTGAGGGTTTAGGGTTTTTTATGATTATGTAAATGGCAATTACCTTTGCCAGTAAGTTAAAGAAAGCCCTTTTAAAGTGCATGAAATATTCTAATGTCTAAAACCTTTCAAAATCATCACTGGGATCTGTTGAGAACCTACTCTAGCATTATTCATTTAAAAACAGGTAGGAAATATATTCATTAATGTGGCAGTATCCAGCCAAGACAAACATAWTGTTATATTTCTGCAGCTTCCGTGTCTTGTCCAAAGCAATTTGTTTATCCAGGGTGTGTTTAAAGAACAAGAAAAAGCCCAATTTCCTTCTAACTATCATGCAGTTTACACAAAGGTCTAGTTTCATGGCAGAAGAATAGTTAAATTGTAGTCCAACTTCCCAGAATAAAGGCTAACTTTTTTTCATCACTTGCACCACTAAGTACTCACTCTGATTGACTTTAAATGAAACTTCAAAAGGAATATGACTCATGACTTGTTGAAGTTTCAACAACCTACTCCAAAATCAGTAGCATATTAACATCAGGGCTTCGATCTTCAATAATTATATATCAGTAAGAGACTGTGAAGGTTTAGAGAGATGATCCAGATGTGGTAGCCCTCTTTCCAATGATAATGTAAGAGTTTATATCTCCTACAAACTTATTTTTTGTATGSAAAGATATTACTGAGTTAAGCTGACTGATTAAAAAATTGTGCCCAATTCRTATTTTAGTATTCTAACAATCCATCAATCTTCATTAATACCTGAAGAAGTCACTTTTACTGACATTAATTAAACCTCATGGAACTGAAACAGAATGACTGCTTGCAGGATTGTACTTCAAGACCTCCAAATAAAAATCCATGGTAGCCATAGTCACTATATACTACTACACTGGAAATCTGTGTCCACTTGAAAGAAAATGTAACATATTTAACAAGTATGCTAAGAAATGAAGGGTGGAATGGTTACCTATAAACTATCCAACTGGGCTCCCAAACAACAGCCCCGCTGTCACTCT